AGTTATCTCTCGCTAGACAACGGTGCGTTCGTTTACCGTCACATATTTATGGATGAGTTTGAAAAGGAATTTAATGTGAAGCCAATACAATTTCCTGTATGTAATATACTTTAAGTGCTTAATAATTTATATGCTTAAATATTAATAATGATAACTTGATAATTTATTAATGCTGACTAGATAATTGATCCAGATATAGCAAATTTACTTGCAAAACATAATCTTAGATCCAAATTATTAAATTATACTGATGTATTACGTATGAGTGCTGCACTGATCGATGATACATTAGCGTTAGGCTTTAATTTAGATCAGCAATATATTATATATTGCTGATCTAATTTTTCAAGAACTTTGTCCGAAACGTCATATAATTTAAAGCCCAATGTATCATCGATCAGAGGGGCTGAATCAGAAAAAAAACCAGAGTCACATTTTCTTTTGGCAGCACTCATATATATATATCGATATTACCGTAAAATGCAATGCAAACAGTGTTAATTTTTCAATTAAAATTTACTGTGCGGATACCGCACAATTTAAATTTTATTCTGTGCTGAAAAAAAAACCCCATATAGTGTTATGTTTTTAGTTTGTGTAGAGGCTATGTGAGGCTAAGGTGACAGCACGAGGCCTCAAGCAGATCAGGTTTCTTAAGATCATAAATTGTATAAAAGCACAGGCTATCTCATTTAACAAAAAGGGACTTGTGAAAGAGAAGCCCTCGTCCTTCTTGATAAAGTAACATAAAATAATGTTTTATTCCCAATCATAATTAATACTCAAATCCCACCTGGTTGAGTGAGATGCTATCGCGTCCAAATGACGTTAACTATTGGAGCTAAACTGTGCAACTTATCCGCTCTCCCAATTTACATATAGTGTCGATTGTGTGGATGAATGTTATACCCCACGCCTTCATCATTGTTAAAGACCTTTTTAAATCTGAAGTGAGGAATATTTGTTATATTTTTAGGAAAATGATAAAAGATCCTAAAATTAAAACTCTTTCCCGTAGATCATTTTACCAAACAACTGGAAAGAAAATAATTAAAATACTGAGAAGTGCTACTTAAATATACTAAAATTCTGGCCTAACAAGGCCAAACTACTACAAAGC